AGTTAAATAAAATACATTAAGTTCAAAGGATATTTTATCAATGCTTTCAAAATGATAAATCACAAGGAGAATCACTGTAGGTTTTCTAGATACCTTACTCCATAAAGTCATTAAGAGCAATTAAAAACATACAGAATTTCAGTTTCAAATTTTTGTATTGTGACTGCTTTTATAAAACCACTACATATAGAAGATGCCAACTAATTAAACATTTTCTGAAACTGAAAATATTTTTCAGATTTAGTTACATATAGTTTGCACTTATTTCAGGGTAAAGATGTGGGTCTGTCTTTAGAATAAGTGGCTTGTTTGTCCTATAAAAAAAAACATCTTTTAAAGATCCTTTGGGTATGCAGAATTTAATTCTTAGGGAGGAACTAAGAAAGCACATAGGGAAACATAAGGCTGAAATCCTATGTTCTGTAATTCATTATTGTTAAGGTGTATGTTTTAGCAAAACTATTTCCTTGTTCTTATATAACACACATATATATTCTTTTCTATAGGGATATTTATGTAATATGTCTGAAAATTATAGATTTATGCGTGAGTGTATGTGTGTGTTTGTGTGTGCACGTGCATGTGTGTAGAGTTAATTCGTGTATTCTTGTTTCATAATAGGGAACAAACTATAGGACCATGGACATAAAAGCCTGATCTTCTTTTACATGAGTGAAGAGGTCATGTTTTGGGAAATACGTTGTCACATTACCCTTATGGTCTGGCTGTTCAAGGTGGGAGGGAGCTTTCTCCTGAAGGGAAAACATCTGGATCAGGTGATACTACAAAGCAGAAAGGGTTCTGAAAGCAGCAGGGTGGGATGAAATTTCTTTCTCTGAAGAAAATTGAGTGAATTGAGGATGGTAGTAAGCCTTATTGTTGAACACATGTAAGATTACACATGAGAAAGCAAAGCAGTGAGAAAGCTCTGCAATGGAGGGAGAGCCCAGATCTGAGCAATGAATAGCCAATTAGTAGTAGTAGTAATAAAGTAATACTGTGGTTTTATTCCCCTCAAGTCTCTAAGAAAGCTTTAGAAATGAGATAAAATGTTATCAACAAATAAATCAACAAAACAAGTAAAGAGTATATGGATGCTTTCTGTATCATTAATACATTACAAAACTGGAAAAAAGTTACAACTCTACAACCTAGTATCGGTTGTAGTATCAGTTGTAAGAGGGTGGAAGGAAAAGATACTTACCCTGCATTTCAAAAGGAGTGGCTAAAAAGAAATGATATGGGGGCCCTTCCTGGTGGCACAGCCGGTTAAAGCACAGCACTAAGAAGCTAAAGCCACTTCAATATGAGTTCAATCCTCGCCTGCCCCGGAGGTGACCCACATGGGCGGCACACTTCTCCTGACCGGCCCACTGCTCCCCTCAGCAGTGTACTTTGACAATCGGCCTGCTCTGCTCCCTACTCTGTCTCTGGTGAACCTTCTCACCACCCCTCCACCTCTAGCCTGTACCCCAGTTCTGTATGCATAAATAAATAAATCTTTAAAAAAAATTATATGGAACTGTTCTAGACAATGCTAAAGGAAGAAATATTAGTGTCATAACACTGACACTAAATTATTAAAGCACAGCTCAAAAGAGGGTCAAAGATTAGCTTCACATATGAATATTTTAAGGAGACTATTAGAATTAAAAATCAGTAGATCAGTACAGGAATATCACATGACCAAGAGAAGTTCAAACCAGGAATAAAAAGACTATTCAATGTAAGAAAGTCTGTTATTGTAGTTCACAATGTTGACAGTTCAAAGGGAAAATGTCATATAATAATCTTTAGAAGCTGAAAAGGCAGCTAAAAATATTTAACTTTCATTCTTGATAAGAATGCCTTGTTATTAATATTACTAAATAGATAATCTAATGACATGAGAAATATGAATCTCAACAATAAAAGTTGTACCCTGCTTAGCAGAGAAAAAAAAATTCCAGTGGTCTCAGAAACAGTACAAATGAGAACTATAAATATTAGAACTGACAGGCAACAAAATAAAAGTGTATTAGTTGTAGCTAATGTAACTGAATACCCAGGGAAAATAATCAGGAAAATAATTACTACTTGTAGTAATCAATAATTACTACTTGTAGTAATCAATATAAATAATTAGGAAAGTGTCTATTCTAAGTTATAAAGAAAAAATTTGGTATTTTGGAAGGAATAATCAGAACAGGACAATGAAACAAAAGAGAATATAGGAAAAGGTCAACTACATAGAGAAATTAGGTAATGAGGAAGGTCACATTTTAAGGCAAGAGAAAAACTGGCTTATCAATTAACACTTTTATGAAAATAGGCTAGTGAAATCACCTTAAATGTCACCTTAAATGATGACTTTTTGAAATAAAAAAATTTTGATTCAGAGGTAATTAAGAAACTGTAAACACAGAAATGGCTCCCTCTTTTCTACCTAAAGACAAGAAATAAAGTTTCCTATCTTTATGTTCCTTGTAACTTCAACAATTTACTAATTCAAAACCTTGTCATTTCAATTTATAAATGCTTCCTGCTATGGTTACTTCTTTAGGTCTTTATTCTCTTGTGAAGGCACCAATGTACATGTAAAAATTCAATACAATTGTATACTCTTCTGTTAAATCTGCCTCTGTCAGTTAAATTTTCAGATCCAGCCAGAAACCCTAAGAATGTCAGGAAAACATTTCCCTCACCTACACTAACAACTTGGGAAATTAACAAAACTGAGTCTTTTCCTGACCCCTCACTAAAAGACAATTTCCAGATAGAACAAATATTTACATGTTAAAAAAAACACACACAAAAAGTATTAGAAAAAGTTACACAATGAGTACAAATTTTATCTCATTGCATTAAATTTGAAAAGCATAAAGATAAAAATAGAATTAAGTGAAAAATTAAAATTTATATACCACTAATAAAACAAATGGCACCCAATAAATCTGTAACAAATGCCCAATGGCAATTTCTTCGATTTATGAAATGTTCCCACCAGAAAAGGGGAAAAAATCCATAGAAAAATGGAGAAAATAGGGCACTACCTGGTGGCGCAACGGCTCAGGATGCAGCACTGCAAGCTGGCCGCAGCTGCTTCAGTGCAAGTTCGATCCCCAGCCCCGTAGGTAATGGCTGACGTCTCCTGAACCGCCCACTGCTCCCCTCAGCTGTGTACTTTGTCGATCTGCCTGTTCTGCTTCCTACTTTGTCTCTGGTAAAGACTCTCACTGTCCCTGCACCTCTGGCTTGTACCTCAGTTCTATATGAATAAATAAATCTTGAAAAAAATGGAGAAATCAATGAAGTCAAATTATAGAGAAATAAGTA